ATAAGACTAGAAGGCATAAATCTGTAGGAGTCAAGAAATCTGAGTTTCATTTTACCAACCTTTTTTGAAAAACTAATAAACCTTTCCATCGTTACGGCTAATACATCAATTTTACCATTGTCCCTTCCTAATTCAGGTATTATAAAATGTCCATCATAGCCGCTTAAGTTGTGCATTACAATTGGAATATAGTTAGGAATTTTATAGTTTAAGTTGCAAGCGTTACACGCAGCACCTCTGTAGCTTCCAGTCAGATGGTCGTGGTCATGCACTTTATGATTATCTTCTGTAAATGTTTTCTTGCACAAATAACATGATGTTGATAAATCGTATTCTTGAACTTCATCGGGTGACATAGGTGTCATAGGTTTTACCTGTGTATAAATTGCCTCTACTTTTTCAGCTATATTGTACAGCTCGTCGACAAAGTGTTTAGCTGCATCTTCACCACGATACACTTTTGGTTCAGCTGTCAGTCCATAATCTTGTAAATATTCTTTGGAAAGTGTTGACTTGATGAGTAGACAAAAACTGTTGGGTGAATGTAGTTGGTACTTGTTTCTTCTTGATGTGTCCTCCTCTTGATGTTCTAATGGTAGTAGAGTAGATTCAAAATCAGCATACACGACAATAGGAATTCTATATTGATGAACTACATTATTAAACTGTACAAATGCTCTATCAGCTGGTGGTAGGTTAATCTTAACTTCTTCATTTCCATTGCATAACCTTTTATGTTCTAACAACCATTCAGACCCTCCATTTCTCATAGATTTGTTCACATGACAGAAACATCTTTTACAAATTGTTTTACATCCCCCATGCTTTGAAATCTGGGAAGTAACGAGTTTGTTAAAGTTCTTAATATATACATAGTGCGATATTTCACCTTTCGTAATTAATAACAAGTCAGTGTGATTATTTAGTTCGTGTGCACTTATACGTAGAGGATATACATTGTTTGATGAATCTAAACCATATATATTTACAGAAGCAGTTGGGTTCTGTTTTTCAAACTTGGTGATGTCTTTGATTTTTACAGGGTAGCTCATTCCTTGAAAATTATAATTGTGCTGCACTTCTTTATATTCTCTTCCTACCTTTTCCGGGTGATTGTTTTTGATATGTTTTACTAACATTGAATATTTAAAACATTCTGTATCATCATTTTGTACATTTATGCAAGATAGAGTATTAGCAATTTTCTTGGGTAGAGGAATATAGCTACTTCCTCTCATTCCATATCCATGTTTATGCACTCTTATATCCAAACCTGATATGCTCAATACAGTCCATCCTGATCCCCTGCCTTCATGTTCTTGCAATTTTGTCAAAAGTTCTTCAAAACATTCATCTACAATTAATTCAATATCTGAGCCAAACATGATAGTTCTGTTTTTTGTTAAAAACCCTCTAGGCGATGTTTCATTTTGCATGTTGGTAAACATAGTGTCCAGCAATAGTCCAAACTTTATAAAATTTAATCTTTGTAATTCATTTTGTAGCGTTTCAATTACTAGTCCTTTTGCACTAAACATAAATTCTTCCAGTTTTAATGTAGCATTGTCAATTTTAAAATGTGTTACCACTTTACCCGGTAGAGCATGAGCGTGTAGTTCCACGTTTGTTGGAGATGCATCAGTTGAAGGTGAAGTTGGGCGTTTGGGTGCATAATGAATAACACTTGGTCTTGAAGTTGATGGTTTGGGTTCTTCCTCTTCTCCTTGTCCTATTTGATTTAATTCTTCAATCAAGTCTTGATATCCTTCCAATTCCTCTTCATTTGTAGGATGATCGACTATTTCATGAAGTAGAAGATCTATTTCATCCTCGAATGTGGCTTGACAAATGGCGCAGCGTAGCATGGAAGTAGATGGTTTTGGTTCTTCTTCTCCTCGATCTCTTGAAGTAGATGGTTTGGGTTCTTCTTCTTCTTTTTGTCCTATTTTATACAATTCTTGAATCAAGTCTTGATATCCTTCCAATTCCTCTGCATTTGTAGGATGATCGACTATTTCATGTAGTACAAGATCTATTTCATCCTCGAATTCGGCTTGACAAATGGCGCAGCGTAGCATGTTGTAGATGTTCTCTATTCAAGAAGCAGCAACATACTGATGAAAGGTGTGAACATCCACCCCTATTTATACCATTCCCTCCCCTCTCTCCCCTCTACTACTACTATTAAATTAATGACATCACCCCATTTCCCAATTGCTTTATAATCTAACGTAAATACAGGCTATTCTTCAACTTTCAAACATATTTATAGAAAAACAAGGTATTTTATTTTTTACTAACTATTCTGGTTTAGTAGGTCAAGGTCATTGCAGGATAATAAAAAAATGTGTGAACAATTCGTTTAGTTCTGAAACACGTTTTTACACATGTTATACCAGAACTAAATAAATTGGTCAGACATTTTTTTATTCAAAATTTGGAAAAAAGTTATTTACTGTTCAAAACTTGGAAAAGCCCCAATTTACTGTGTTATAGTCTTGGAAATTGAAGATTTCCAAGACAAACCCAACCTACCCACGTCCCATTTTTTTATTTGTTAGTACTCTTCATCAATTTCACTATCCAATAAATCCATCATTTCCGACAGAATTCGCTCTTCCATTTCACCATTCATTAATTGTATCATGTCCGACAGCATTTTTTCATCATCATCTTCTTTTAATTTTTCAACGTGGTTATCAATTATAGCACTAGCTTCTTTCATTTCTCCCACAGTCCTCATTCTTGCTTCTTCAACTTCCTTTTCTAAAAACCTTATTCTTTCAATTGATAAATTTATAATTTGGAGTTTAGACGTTCCTTTTTTAGCTTTGAGTATGGTTCTCAATACCTCAAATGTTTCATTTAGCTTCATCACCCTCCTTCTTTCTCTTTCATTATGTCTAATCTTTTTTTTATCCATCTTGACTAAACTTGCGTTTGCGAGTTCCAGAAATAAGAATGTTTAATGCAGGATGTCAAATCTCTTTTATACCTCCATATAGTGGTGGGGGTAGACCACTCCCCACTTTACTTTATAGTAGTAGGGGAAATGGGTAACATTTTTCCTTATTGTTGAACCATGGAATTTATTTAAATCCTTTAAGTAGGTCAAGGTCATTGTAAAATAATAAAAAAATGTGTGAACAATTTATTTAACCCAGCAACATGTTTTCTTAAACATGATATACCAGAATTAAACAAATTGCTCAGACATTTTTTTCAAAATTTTGAAAAAGCCGATTTACTGTGTATTTTATGATTTTATGATTATCAGGATTTAAAATAAATTAAATATTTCAGAGATTAAAAATTTAGAAATAGAAAATTTACTGTTATTGTTGTGGAAATTTATGATTTGCAAAACAAACCCCCATCCCACCCATTTTTCCCACTCATTTTATTTTTTGTACATTAATCACTATCGGAGTCAGAGTCAGAGTCAAACAATCGTCTTCTACTTCTAAACATTGCACTAAACATTATATGACTTGTTGTAGGTGTTTCCCTTAGCTCAACAAGTTTCTCCGAGCATACCATCTCTTCAGTAGATGATGAATCTTCAACAAGTAGAAAACTTCTATCTTCTTCATCTAACTCTTCATCAGTCAATACTTCCAAATTTTCGTCACCATCCGATTCCAACTCTTCTTCGGATAAAGATTCTTCCTCCAAGTCTATGTCTTCTTCCTCTGAACCAGCTTCAAAAACAATGTTTTCCAATAAGGTTTTTAAAAAAGAAGTTGTCGGGAAAATATTGTCCACAGGAGACATAATGTACAAGAGTGGTAAATCTGAAGTAACTGATTGTACCTCAGCAAACATGTTATATAGACAAACCCCCACCATTTACCTTTACCCCCACCCTTAACCTTTACTCCATTTTGTTTTTAGTTATTGCGGTCTGGTTTTATGTAGAATGTGGCAGTCACAATATACCCTTTTTCTAACATTTCCACTAGCCTTCGAATTATTTTATTAAATCGTACATCAGTTAATTCTAGTTTCAACCCGTTTGCTTCTGAGTTCCAGATGTTTCTCTCTTCCTTCCACAAAGTAAAATGACATGTCACACTATGATTTAAATATTTTTCTAAACTTCCCCTGAATGCAAATGCTTCTTGAAGGTTTTTTAAGTTTCTTTTAATTATTATTGTAGCTGGGGAATTCATAGTTAAACTTGCCTCTGCTAGCTCCAATCTAAGAATGAATCATGTGCAATATCAAGCGTCTTTTATACCTTTATGTACTGGTGGGGGTAAAGGGGGTGGAATTAAACAAACCACCTTAATTTTAGTAGTGGTAGAAATTGATATTATCATTATTTTAAAATTTTGCAGAAATTTATAAGTTTAAGAAGTGGGTCAAGGTCATTGCAAGATAATAAAAAAAATGTGTGAACAATTCATTTAATTCTTCAGCATGTTTTTACACATGATGTATCAGAATTAAACAAATTGCTCACACATTTTTTTTTTAAGAATTTGGAAAAATTGAATTTACTGTGTTATCTTTGGTAATGTAAAATGTTAAAAGAAAAAAAATTACCGTGTCTTCTTGATCTTGGAAATTGAAGATTTCCAAGACAATCTTCCTTTAGCATCCCGGATAAGGTAGTCAGTTCTTTTCGGATGTTCAGGGTTTACAACATCTCTTGGTAATCTAATTGAAAAATGCTCTCCTGTATCGTTACGTTTTATAATGATGTTATTAAACCATACACATCTGACAAAGAAATATTTCGTACACCTTTTCATCCTTCTTACCCGGATTGCTTTGGGAAGTTCTTTAATTTTATTGGAAGACTCTGTGGTTTTATTGTGTTTTGAATGAATGGAGCACATATCACTATTCAAAACACAAACCTTTTCACAGTGTTCCCCCTTACTAGCACCCTTTTTAAAAACATATCGACACTTAGAGAGGGTGTGTGCAAATTTTCTTCTCCTGTCAGCAATTAATTGTTTACACTTATCTGAAGGAGAAGTGTGAAGGTGGTCAAAGGATTTGGAAGTGGCTGGTAGGGAGTCTTTTAGAGGAGATATGATGGGTGGTGGAATAGTGAATTGTAAAGGTGGAGTTGTCGAGGGAGAAATACATGGTGTAGAAGTTGGAGGTGGAGATGCAGTTCTAGTAGCAGTAGGTGTTGATAGAATATCAGCAACAGTGCAGTCAGAGGACGAGGAAGAGCTTGTAGATGAATCAGATGAGGTTAACTCCGAAGAAGATGAACAAGACGAACTTGATTGTGAAGATGAAGATGAAGACAATATTTCAATCAGTGGAGGAGATTGATCACCAATGGCTCGGAAGGTGTATTGTTCTTCTGCTCCAGGACTTGCACCTTCTGACTGCAGTATTTCTCGAAGAACCGATTTTGGATCTGACGCATGTGATGAAATTAAAATAGATCGAGGAAGAGACTTTGAAGATGAAGAAACTACTTTCGAGGGTCTAGTGGGAATTCTAAGGTAAGCCATGAT